GTACATAGAGGCTGAAGGACTGAAACCTGAACAAGTGTTCAATTGTGACGAAACAGGCCTCTTTTGGAAGAAAATGCCAAAGAGGACCAACATTACTCAGGAGGAAAAGGGACTGCCAGGACACAAGCCTATGAAAGACAGGCTGACACTCATGTTCTGTGCTAATGTTAGTGGGGATTTCAAAGTGAAGCCGTTACTAGTGTACCATTCTGAAAATCCCAGAGTGTTCAGGAAAAACAATGTTATGAAGAGTAAATTGTGTGTGTTTTGGAGATCTAATAATAAGGCGTGGGTCACGAGGGACATTTTCGTCGAGTGGTTCAATGAAGTGTTTGGCCCTAGTATGAAGAATTACCTCCTGGAAAAGAAATTGGATCTCAATGCACCTGCTCATCCTCCAAACTTGGATGACCTAATTCTGCAGGAGTTTGGATTCATCGCAGTAAAGTTCTTGCCCCCGAATACCACTCCTCTCCTCCAGTCCATGGACCAGCAGGTTATTTCAAACTTTAAAAAACTCTACACCAAAGCAATGTTTCAAAGGTGCTTTAATGTGACCTCAGACACTCACTTGACCCTAAGAGATTTTTGGAAAGAACACTTCAGTATCCTCCATTGCATAAGCCTTATAGGTAAGGCTTGGGAGGGAGTGACTACCAGGACTTTGAACTCTGCTTGGAGAAAATTGTGGCCAGATTGTGTCCACAAGAGGGATTTTGAAGGGTTTGTGGCTGACCCTGATGAGCCTATGTCAGTTGTGAACTCTATTGTGGCATTGGGGAGTTCCAATGCCACAATAGAGTTCACATCTATGGGGTTGGATGTGAGTTTGGAGGATGTGGAAAAGTTGGTGGAGGACCACAACGAAGAGCTAACTACTGAGGAGCTGCAAGAGCTTCAGCAGGAACAGCAACAGATCGCAGCTCAATATCTTGCTGCAGAGGAGGAGGAAGAGAGGTGGAAGAAGGTGCTTTCTTCAGAATTTAAGGATATTTTTGAAATGTGGGGTAGGATGGAAAGATTTATGGAGAAACATCACCCTGAGAAGGATGTTGCAAGCCATATCGGCAACTTGTACAGTGACAGAGTCTTGGCCCATTTTAAGGAAGTTTTAAAGAGACGCCAGAAACAGAGCTCTCTGGACACTTTTTTTGCAAGACAGGACTCCAGTGACTCTCAAGCTGATCCTAGTGGCATTAAGAAACAGAGAAGAAAAGTAGCCCAGAAAAGGACTTGGTACCTGAGGTGCTGATGGAAGGGGATTCCCCTTCCAAACAGTAAATAATCCAATCCCTCTCCTCCTCCAGTCTTCCATACACTAAGAAGAATTGCCAATAAAGGTAAGTGTTATGCTGTTAATGTTTCATTCATCATGTCCCATTATATTGTTTATGTACTACATCTACATTTCATGTAAAAAAAATTTTTTTGTTTTAATACTTCTGGGTGTCAGGAACGGATTAATTGTATTTACATTATTTCTTATGGGGAAAATTGATTCGAAAATCGTCTATTTCGATAATCGTCGCACTTCCAGAAACGGATTAACAACGATAAATGAGGGACCACTGTAATTTATATTATATTATGTATATTATTATACTGTATAATTATTATATTATACATATTATTATTATTATAATTTATTACATTATGTATATTATTATATACAGTGGACCCCCGCATAACGATCACCTCCAAATGCGACCAATTATGTAAGTGTATTTATGTAAGTGCGTTTGTACGTGTATGTTTGGGGGTCTGAAACTGACTAATCTACTTCACAATATTCCTTATGGGAAAAAATTCGGTCAGTACTGGCACCTGAACATACTACTGGAATGAAAAAAGTTCGTTAACCGGGGGTCCACTGTAATTATATTATACGTATTATTATTATTATTATTATTATTACAATACTCTTGCTTACCATTTGGAATTTTTATTCACACAAAAAATAGAAGATTTACTGTTATGCAGACTACTGCATTATTGTAATAATTGTATTAATAATGTCAACCCACTCATGACTGCGTATTTGGAATGGCCATTCAGACAAGTATTATTTACTCTTGAACACCGGCAAAAATCGAACATTTCTGCAACTTAGAGCTCAATTTCAAGGTATGTACTTTTTGTTAAGAAATCAATCAAAATCATATCTATTTCTGTAATATATCTTCCATTCTATCAAATGAGACCAAAAAATGAGAATACAACCATAAAAACCATACAAAAATATACTGCTAAGAGGCAGCTAATGGCTGAAGAGTGAGCTCTATTATTTATGGTCTGATTTCTTTCAATTTTGGTGTACGTTAAGAAGCATCTTTCCGTCATACATTGCCCAAGTTTCAATAAGATAGTCCAACAAACAAATGAGATCCAATTCCCTAGATCAAGAACAAGAACCCCTCACCAGCGTCAAGGAACCTCCCTTGAGTCCTGCTTGCATCTGGAAATTTCACTTGCATCTGGAAGCAAAAAATCGACCGAGTGACTGCTCGTATCTGGAAAAACTCACACGTGGGTGCACTCGTAAGTAGAGGTTCCACTGTATATTAATGTTTAAAACTTAATTACAGTACAATGTACTGTACTCTAATCCCCAAATACTCAACAAATTCCAAGCCTGCAAATTTACCAATATGCAAGTTTTGATTTTTATCTTATTGCCCTGTGGGCTTCAAGCCAGGTTTAAGAATCTGTAACTTGTGCATAGTACACTATGTCACTGCCTTGACTAAAGTGCAACAAACTCCTATAAAGAGGTAGTAGTATTTATATATGAAGTCCAACTAACCTTGCCGTATACTGGCTGAACCTTCTGTCACTATTAGCATTATGAAATGTCTGACAGAAATGCTCTTAGACCTTCAACTTTCATATTTTCCTCATTTTCACTTTATATTTATTTGTTTAAATTATTTTAAGTGTATAGTATATGCCATAAGAATATTTCATATACAGCATTTATGTTAAACAATCTAATTATTCTAGCTCTGCTTTAACCCTTAAATGGTCCAAACGTATATATACGTTTTTTCAACATCTGAAAGTATGTAAAAAAATGTAGATCTTCTTTTTTGTTTTACATTTGAAAACGTATAAAAAAAACTTTTATCTACATTTTTTTTTTGTTATATTTGAAAATATGCAAAAAAAAGTAGATCTACTTTTGTAGCACTACGAATTTGAACGTCGATCTGTTTGGACCGTTTAAGGGTTAAATACTATGCTGTACTTAGGTATAAAAAGTCACGGAGGCTCAGAATGCACATTCCCCATTTTTATGTAAACACTGTACAAGCTTAGTAGTTGAAAATTTACTATCTGTGGGATTCTGGTAGAAAGCATATACAGTGGACCCCCGCATAACGATGGCATCGCATAGCGATTTTTCCGCATAACGATTACTTTTATCGCAAAATTTTTGCCCCGCATACCGATTAAAAACCCGCATACCGATTTTCGTCCGAGACGCGTCCAATGTGCCCTCACATGTGCCGGCCGTCCCATTGTTTACCAGCCAGCCTCCGCGGTAACATCCAAGCATACACTCGGAATATTTCGTATTATTACAGTGTTTTCGGTGGTGTTTCTGGAAAATAAGTGACCATGGGCCCCAAGAAAGCTTCTAGTGCCAACCCTGTGGTAAAAAGGGTGAGAATTAGTATGGAAATTAAGAAAGATTTTGAAGGGTTTGGGGCTAACCCTGAGAAGCCTATGCCAGTTGTGGAATCCATTGTGCCTACTTCAAAGATTAAGGAAATGTGTGCAGAGTGGTTTGAACTGCAAACCTTTATAGATGAAAATCACCCTGACACAGCTGTTGCAAGCCGTGCTTGTGACTATTTCAATGACAATGTTATGGCCCATTTTAGGAAAGTCTTGAAGAAACGGGAGGTACAGAGCTCTATGGACAGATTTGTTGTGCGACAGAGGTCCAGTGACTCTGAAGCTGGTCCTAGTGGCATTAAAAGAAGAAGGGAAGTAACCCCAGAAAAGGACTTGCTACCTCAAGTCCTAATGGAAGGGGATTCCCCTTCTAAACAGTAAGAAGATAATGCTCTCCCCTCCTCCCATCCCATCAATCATCACCAGATCTTCAATAAAAGTAAGTGTCATGTAATTGTGCATGCCTTTTTCAGTTTGTGTGTATTAAAATTAACATTTCATGTGGTAAAAAAAATTTTTTTTCATACTTTTGGGCGTCTTGCACGGATTAATTTTATTTCCATTATTTCTTATGGGGAAAATTAATTCGCATAACGATTATTTCGCATAACGATGAGCCCTCTTGCACGGATTAAAATCGTTAACCGGGGGTCCACTGTACAATGGAACCCTGGATTTCGACTATAATCCATTCCAGAAGGTCGCCCTAAATCCAAAAACCGAAGTAATATTTCCCAAAAGAATTAACGTAAATACAATTAATCTGTTCCAGACACCCAAAAATATTAGCAAAAAATACATTTTTTAAAGATTAACTATAGTTTCACATACAGAAAACAATGAGAAATAGATATAAAACACAAATTTTAATGATAAATGAACATTATATACCTTTATTGAAGACACTTGTTGGCGTATTGAAGAAGGCGAGGAGGGGAGAGGGAGTTGGGGTTATTGTTTGGAAGGGGAATCCCCCTCCATAAGGACTTCAGGTATCAAAGCCCTCTCTGGGGTTACTTTCCTTCTTTGTTTTTTAGTGGCACTAGGACCATCTTGAGAGTCACTGCACCCCTGTTGCACAAAAATAAAAAATGGCCAGAGAGGTCTGTTTCTGGCATCTCTTTAAGATTTGCCTGAAATGGGACAGGGTCTTGTCACTGAATTCTATCACATTTATCACTTTCTTTACCAAAGGGCTGGCACTAGGAACTTTCTTTGGGCCCATGGTGGCTTATTTTGCAGTCACACTCAATAAACAACCACAAAAAACAATGGATTATAATGAGATGTTTGGATGAATGTGCAGAATGTTGCTCACTCACCCAGAGACACAGGTAGACTGACTCACAAACGCAGCAGAGTGGCGGGCAGACACGTCCAATACGGCCGATTTCTGAGTTGCTGGCTGAAATCTAGGGAAGAATTTTGGCCAAAAAAGGTGGCCGAAATCCAATTTGGCTGATATCCAGGGTTCCACTATACTGTATATTGTGGGAAACAGTATAAAATAAAGATGCATACCAATTTCTAAACATGTTAATTGAACTGTTTCTGAAAATAATTACCTTTATAAGAGATCAGCAGCAATCTAATCCAAGATGTTGCAGGTAATCCAGGTGGACTTGTAATCTAGGTTGTTTTGCAAAGTTTGCCATTTTAAAACTCCACTATGCATTCTGCTGAATGAAAATGAATCTTTAATACAAAATTTAAAAAATACTGCCCAGAAATTAACTAGTTATTAAAAATGCCTTATTTATTTATTTATTTATTTATTTGAACATGATACAGTGAAGTACAAAAGAATACAGTTAAATGCAGCATGCCAAAGCCACTTGAATGCATAGCATTACGGGCAGGCTTAAAATTAACTTAAGATTAACAAAGCAATGATATATTTAGTGGTACAAAAATTATTGTAAAACAGATAACAATTTAGTACAAATGAGTATTACAAAGACAGGTTATATGGTCAATTACTGTGTTGCTGTGTAATCAGTAGAATGGAGTATTCTGTTAGGTAATGAAGTTAAATAGTAACAAAGTTTGATTGGGTCACAGGTTAACATTTATGAGATACAATAATGAGATACATATATGAGATACAATTTATGAGATACTATTATTCAGTATTTATTTAGTTGTGGGTGAGTAAGTGATTTTTGAGAAGAGACTTGAACTTATAAACAGACAGTGTTTCTTTTATATTCACAGGTAATGTATTCCAGATTTTAGGGCCTTTTATGTGCATTGAGTTTTTGCATAGCGTGCGATGGACACGAGGAACATCTAAGAGTGATCTGTGTCTTGTGTTATGGTCATGTGTTCTGTTGAGGTTGGTAAGGAGATGTTTGAGGGGAGGGTTTATGTCAGAGTTAAGTGTTCTATGTATGTAGTAGGTGCAGTAATAAGTATGGATGTTTTGTATTGTGAGTAGGTTTAGAGTTTTGAATATTGGTGGAGTGTGCTGTCTGTAGTGGGAATTTGTTATCATTCTGACTGCAGCCTTTTGTTGGGTGATTAGTGGTCTGAGATGGTTTATTGTTGTTGAGCCCCATGCACAAATTCCATAGGTGAGATAGGGGTAAATAAGTGAGTGATATAGGGCCAGGAGGGCTGACTGTGGAACATAGTACCGTATCTTCGACAGTATGCCTACGGTCTTGGAATTTTTTTTGGAAATTTGTTGTATATGTGTTTGAAATTTGAGTCTATTATCAAGGTGGATTCCTAGGAATTTTCCCTCTGAGTTTTGTGATAGGTGATCCATTTATCATTATGTTAAGAGACACATCTGCAGCTCTGTTACCAAACTGAATGTAGTAGGTTTTGTCAATGTTTAGAGTAAGTTTGTTGGTCTTCATCCAGGTTGATATTTTCTGTAATTTGGTATTTACAGTAATGGCTAGCATGACTGGGCTCGGGTGGGAGTAGACGTATGTAGTGTCATCTGCAAATAGTGTGAGTTTGAGTAGTTGCGATGCATTTGGTAGGTCATTTATGTATATGAGAAAGAGAAGAGGGCCTAGGACACTTCCCTGTGGGACACCAACTGTAATTGGCTGTGCGGAAGAGTTTGCCCCATTTGTGTACACATATTGGCTTCCGTTGCTGAGGTATGACTTTAGGTAGTTGAGGGAGTGCCCTCTTATAACAAATATGTATCTTAAAACCGAACACTAGAACACTCACAGTCCGCATTCATTTTGATATTGTTATTCAAAACCAAGAGAACCTTCTAAAGACCTGTAGCTCAGTAATATCAGTTTCAATGAAAATGTTCAGAAAGATAAAAGTACTTGGGTAAATAATTAAGGCAAGGTTTATTTATATAAACTGAACAAAAAATATACTAAATGCAAAAAAAAGTTATTATGAGGTGGGAAATGTAACAGCCAAATTACAAAACAGGTTTATGCAATATATTAATGCATACAGTATTATAAACTAAAACCTGAAAAAAACACAAAAGTTCAGAGATATGTTTAACAAATGGAAATGAAATCATACAAGGAAAAGCACTGGAAAACATACAAAGGAGGATGATAAAGTTGGGTGCTACTTTAGCGTGCAGTGTACCGCAGTATTCGTAGTCTATGCTGCAAACTGACTTTTAATGTGCGGTCAACCTTTTCTGTTATAATTAACCTAACCTAACCTGGTTAGGTTAGATCAGACCACACGCTAAAGTGTAAATGAGCTGGTAGACCGCACGCTAAAGAAGCACCCAAAGCTGATCCTGTGAATCAGAAATCTTCCCTATGAGGATAAACTGAAGGCCTGAATCTGCACTCTCTAGAAAGACACAGAATTAGGGGGGATATGATTAAGGAAAACAGGAATAAATAAAGGGAATGTAAACTGTGTACTAAATTATCTACCCAAAGCAGGACTCGCAGGAATGGTTTTAAGTTGAAAAAATTCAGATTCAGGAAGGATATAGGAAAGCACTGGTTTGGTAATAGAGTTGTGGATGAGTGGAACAAACTCCCGAGTACCATCATAGAAACTAAAACGTTGTGTAGTTTTAAAAATAGGTTGATAAATACATGAGTGGGTGTGAGTGGGTGTGAATTGGACCTGACTATCTTGTGCTAATAGGTCTGATGCTGTGCTCCTTCCTTAAGTGGATGTGACCTGACCTGACTAGGTTGGGTCATTGTCTTAAGACAGTGGGAGACTTGGACCTGCCTCGCATGGGCCAGTAAGCCTGCTGCAGTGTTCCTTCTTTCTTATGTTCTTTTTCATAGTATTTAGGGCAGTCTAAAACTAGGACAAATACTAATGCATCAGTCCCATTGATTGGACCACATATGACATAGTTTAATAGCTGTATTATGCATGTCATACCCATCCTGTGCAATGTGCAACTGAGAGATGTCTATGTTCTGTAGTGCCTATGGGAAAAGATTTTTTTTTCACATAACCTAACCTAATGTTACCCAACTTAACCTAACCAGCATCAGGCTGGTCTAGGTTAAGTTAGGTTTGGCTGGATTAGGTTATTAAATTTACTTATCAAAATAAAGCTTGTTTCCTGTGTCTAAATTTAACTTTTCATTGCAAAACCTGGTTAATAAACAAGAATTTACATAAATGATATTCTTTGACTATTACCATCTAAAAAAAACAATTTGAACAAACATTTTTGTTCTTGTGGAATGGACTATGTGGATATTATTTGAAACAACAGAACAGTACATTTCTGTCCAAGAAAAAAAATAATCAAGGACTCCAATGGAAATAAGTCACTGTGACTTCTGGGGAGTTATCCTAGGTAATTTACACTATGTATGATAATTGTACTTATATGCACCTGTGCCTAAATAAACTTACTAACAATGACCAAAATATCTTGTTCTGTAATCTATCCAATGTGAAGACTCAACACTTAACACAGTCAACCAAATTAATTCAAATCTCTGGTCCAGTCAACTCAGCCATGCAGGACACTGGTGGCGATATAATTTCTCATATGACCAATCTTGTTATTATTAGCATTACCGTATTATGATTATTATTATGTATGGAGAAATAATGGAAATACAAAGAAATACTAGGACTCCAGAGGAAATAAGTCACCGACTTTCTGGGAATTATCCTAGGTAATTTACACTATGAATGATAATTGTACTTATGTGTACCTGTGCCTAAATAAACTTATAAACACATGGGTCATTCAGTGCCTCGAGAATGGGAAGCAGTCAGGCCAATGTCCTTGGATCAAGAGCCCCATTTTCCCCCTAAGCAGCATCCAAGAAGCCCTGTTTGGAGTCCCCACCACCCTAATAGATGTCAAGACACTAGTATTTTAATACACACTAAGGTTCTCTAGCTCCTGGCCTGCCACGGTAAATGAAAGGAGCAAGTTGACCATGACTGGCTGATATACCACCACTTGTGAACCTCAACTCTCACATAACATTCCAACAAACAACAGTTTTAAAGAATTAAAACTGGTGGTACTTACAATGTAATGTACTCGTGTACATGTAGTTAATGATCTGTAGTTATTTTGATTACATTAGCTGCTGCTGTGGTTACTTCTCAATTATTTAACTCACTGTGGGATCCTCCAGCAAATTCCTCTCGTGTAGTGTTATTTTCTGTTCCTTTCCTCCATGATTATTATTAATGGAACGTTGTTGTCACTTGTGGGGTAAATGTTCATCTAATTGACGCATATATAACAGCAGGAGCTGCAGGAACACCTATTGGTCGCTTACTGTTGTTGGTGTTATTACTGTTGTTGGTGTTATTGTTGTTGCTATTACTGTTGTTGGTGTTATTGTTGTTGCTACTGCTGCTGATATTGTTGTTGGTGTTGCTATTACTGTTGTAGGTGTTATTGTTGTTGGTGTTGCTATTACTGTTGTTGGTGTTATTGTTGTTGCTATTACTGTTGTTGGTGTTATTGTTGTTGGTGCAAAGCTCAAGGCGGACATCAACCAAATCTTTCAGTGGGCTGCAGAAAACAATATGAAGTTCAACGATGAGAAATTTCAATTACTCAGATATGGTAAACATGAGGAAATTAAATCTTCATCAGAGTACAAAACAAATTCTGGCCACAAAATAGAGCGAAACACCAACGTCAAAGACCTGGGAGTGATCATGTCGGAGGATCTCACCTTCAAGGACCATAACATTGTATCAATCGCATCTGCTAGAAAAATGACAGGATGGATAATGAGAACCTTCAAAACTAGGGAGGCCAAGCCCATGATGACACTCTTCAGGTCACTTGTTCTATCTAGGCTGGAATATTGCTGCACACTAACAGCACCTTTTAAAGGGCAGGTGAAATTGCTGACCTAGAAAATGTACAGAGAACCTTCAGGGGGTGCATAACGAGATAAAACACCTCAATTACTGGGAGGGCTTGAGGTTCCTAAACCTGTATTCCCTGGAATGCAGGTGGGAGAGATACATGATTATATACACCAGGAAAATCCTAGAGGGACAGTACCGAACTTGCACACGAAAATCACTCACAAACGAAAGCAAAAGACTTGGCAGACGATGCACCATCCCCCCAATGAAAAGCAGGGGTGTCACTAGCACGTTAAGAGACCATACAATAAGTGTCAGGGGCCCGAGACTGTTCAACTGCCTCCCAGCACACATAAGGGGGATTACCAACAGACCCCTGGCAGTCTTCAAGCTGGCACTGGACAAGCACCTAAAGTCAGTTCTGGATCAGCAGGGCTGTGGCTCGTACGTTGGTTTGTGTGCAGCCAGCAGCAACAGCCTGGTTGATCAGGCTCTGATCCACCAGGAGGCCTGGTCACAGACCGGGCCGCGGGGGCGTTGACCCCCGGAACTCTCTCCAGGTAAACTCCAGGTGTTGCTATTACTGTTGTTGGTGTTATTGTTGTTGCTACTGCTGCTGATATTGTTGTTGGTGTTATTGTTGTTGCTACTGCTGCTGATATTGTTGTTGGTGTTATTGTTGTTGCTACTGCTGCTGATATTGTTGTTGGTGTTATTGTTGTTGGTGTTATTGTTGTTGGTGTTATTGTTGTTGGTGTTACTGTTGTTGGTGTTGCTATTACTGTTGTTGGTGTTGTTGCACTGCTGCTGATATTGTTGTTGTGTTGCTATTACTGTTGTTGTTGTTGCTATTACTGTTGTTGGTGTTGCTATTACTGTTGTTGGTGTTGTTGCTACTGCTGCTGATATTTTGTTGTGGTGTTGCTTTTAAACTGTTGTTGTTGTTGCTATTACTTTTTGTTGGTGTTATTGTTGTTGCTACTGCTGCTGATATTGTTGTTGGTGTTATTGTTGTTGGTGTTATTGTTGTTGGTGTTATTGTTGTTGGTGTTACTGTTGTTGGTGTTGCTATAACTGTTGTTGGTGTTGTTGCTACTGCTGCTGATATTGTTGTTGGTGTTGCAAATTACTGTTTGTTGTTGTTGCTATTACTGTTGTTGGTGTTGCTATTACTGTTGTTGGTGTTGTTGCTACTGCTGCTGATATTGTTGTTGGTGTTGCTATTACTGTTGTTGTTGTTGCTATTACTGTTGTTGGTGTTATTGTTGTTGCTACTGCTGCTGATATTGTTGTTGGTGTTGCTATTACTGTTGTTGATGTTGCATTACTGTTGTTGGTGTTGCTATTACTGTTGTTGTGTTATTGTTGTTGCTACTGCTGCTGATATTGTTGTTGGTGTTATTGTTGTTGGTGTTGTTATTACTGTTGTTGGTGTTATTGTTGTTGCACTGCTGCTGATATTGTTGTTGGTGTTATTGTTGTTGGTGTTGCTATTACTGTTGTTGGTTTTAAATTGTTGTTGGTGTTGCTATTACTGTTGTTGTTTGCTATTACGTTGTTGGTGTTATTGTTGTTGCTACTGCTGCTGATATTGTTGTTGGTGTTGCTATTACTTTTTGTTGGTGTTATTGTTGTTGCAACTGCTGCTGATATTGTTGTTGGTGTTGCTTTTACTGTTGTTGGTTTTTATTGTTGTTGCTACTGCTGCTGAATTGTTTTTGGGTTTTTGCTTTACTGTTGTTGGTATTATTGTTGTTGGTGTTGCAAATTACTGTTGTTGTTGTTGCTATTACTGTTGTTGGTGTTATTGTTTTTTGCTACTGCTGCTGATATTGTTGTTGGTGTTATTGTTGTTGGTGTTGCTATTACGTTGTTGGTTTTATTGTTGTTGGTGTTGCTATTACTGTTGTTGGTGTTTTTGTTGTTGCTACTGCTGCTGATATTGTTGTTGGTGTTATTGTTGTTGGTGTGTTATTACTGTTGTTGGTTTTTATTGTTTTTTGCTACTGCTGCTGATATTGTTGTTGGTGTTATTGTTGTTGGTGTTGCTATTACTGTTGTTGGTGTTGTGGAAAATACTGTATATATTTTCCAGAAATTCAGTATTTATATGTAAATAGATGGCCATACGTATTTAATAATATTATGTCATAGAAAACGGAGAGTTCTGGTCTGAGCAGAAGGAGACTCGCCATCTTGGTTTTGAATTTGGATACAACGTTGGTGTAATGGGAAGAATTTTTCGTGCTCTAGAGGTTAAAATTGTGTTGACACCTCTCAAATAGGAGGCGAAATTGGTGGATGTGCATTCCTGCATAACTTGAGATATCAACGACTGGACAAGACAGCTCCAGGAACCTCAGATAAGCCTCTAGATTTGTGTAAAAATTTTTGGCCAGTGTTTTCATAAATTTAGGTAGTGAGGTTTTTCTGAGTATGATACAACTTAATATCCAGTCAAATTGGTGAGTGATATTAAGATATATTTTCCTTCTGCTATGTATTGTTATTTATATATAATAAATTTTTAATTTAAAAAGCACCCAAACAAATTTTATATTTTTTACCAGAATTCCTGGTGATGTATAATTCATTTAATTAATAGGTCCAGAGCAACTTGTGGATATGACAGTGGCAGGTATCGAAGGGGGACATTTTTGCGACCTACGTGTCCCAAATTCCTACTTGTCTAACTGATAAATAATAATTATCTATGTTCATTTATTGTTATGTACATAATTATACATACAGATAAATGCAATTTTCCACAACTCTGGCCAGTTGTTATTTTCATGTATAGACAGAGGTTTTCTGAGTATGATACACCTTGATTTCCAGTCAAATTGGTGAGTGATATTAATTCTCCTTCTGTTATGTAAATGTGTTTATATACTATAATCCTTTTTAAATTTTAATATACAGTCCACAAATTTATATATTTATCAGCATTCCTGGTGATGTATATTTCATTTAATTAATAGGCCGACCTAGAAAATGTACAGAGAACTTTCACGGCGCGCATAACGGAGATAAAACACCTCAATTATTGGGAGCGCTTGAGGTTCCTAAACCTGTATTCCCTGGAACGCAGGAGGGAGAGATACATGATTATATACACCTGGAAAATCCTAGAGGGACTAGTACCGAACTTGCACACGAAAATCACTCATTACGAAAGCAAAAGACTTGGCAGACGATGCACCATCCCCCCAATGAAAAGCAGGGGTGTCACTAGCACGTTAAGAGACCATACAATAAGTGTCAGGGGCCCGAGACTGTTCAACTGCCTCCCAGCACACATAAGGGGGATTACCAACAGACCCCTGGCAGTCTTCAAGCTGGCACTGGACAAGCACCTAAAGTCAGTTCTGGATCAGCCGGGCTGTGGCTCGTATGTTGGTTTGCGTGCAGCCAGCAGCAACAGCCTGGTTGATCAGGCTCTGATCCACCAGGAGGCCTGGTCTCAGACCGGGCCGCGGGGGCGTTGACCCCCGGAACTCTCTCCAGGTAAACTCCAGGTAAACTCCAGGTCCAGAGCAACTTGTGGATATGACAGTGGTAGGTATCGAAGGGGGACATTTTTGCGACCTAGGTGTCCCAAATTCCTACTTGTCTATGTAACTCTGATAAATAATAATTATCTTTGTTATCATTTTCTGTTATGTATATAATGAGTTACATTCAGATAAATGCAATTTTCCACAATTAATTTGCCCATTGGTCCTTCTTGAACCGGAGGTAATTAGTGAGGTCATTAATTAGTTAATTACTTAATAATTATATGTGAAATGACAGGAGGTGGATGTTAAGTTCACAAATTTACTTAATGTGTAGTGGATTATAAAATTTTTACAAAAATTTAATTTGATAAGTCAAGTCTGGCTAAGTTTTTATTAATTTGATAAATAATTTTATAAGACAATTCTGGCCAAGATTTATATCAGTGTATGTGTAATTGATAAGACAAGTGTCTAAAGATTATATTGTGTATAATAATTTTGCTTTGCCAAATTCTGGCAAGGATTTATTAATTTGTATAATATTAATTTTGATAAGCCAAGTCTGGCTAAAGGTTTGTATTAATGTACATTTGAAGTTTATATTATTTCTTACATGTAATTGCTAAGCTCAAGTAGCTAGGATTTAATCAAAGGTAAGTTGTATCAGTGTTGTAAGTTGTAATCAGTGTTATTAATAAAGTTGAATTTAATACATTGAATCATGGCTGAAAATGAGGAAATTAATATAGAAGACAAACATATGGAATATAGAGTAAAGAAAGCATCAATACAGGCTAGAAAAGGTCATGTAACCAAGGCATATAATAAGTTCTTGGAATTAATGAATCAAGAAACTGTGAATACTGATGATTTAAAATTGTATTTAGATGCTTTTTGGTAATAGATATGATTCATACAATTATATTACAACAAATATGAGGAGATTTTTTTAGTAAACTGTGTAATGAGACTGAAGTAGATCTCATGATTAATCAGTATTATGAATTAGAGGAAAAGATTCTTTCTTGTAAAAGTCAGGCCTTGAATAAATTAAAATGTGTAAACCAGGCAGTTGGTCAGTCTGCTCCAACAAATAATATGTCTTTGCCAAAACTCCCAGAATTGTGTTTGCCTGTGTTTAATCCTGGAGAAAATTGGGAGGAATTTTGGTCAATTTTTAAAGCAGCTGTGCATGATAGGAGTGATCTAGCCTGTGTAACTAAATTATTTTACCTAAAAGGACAGGTAGATGACTCTTACAAGGAAGCAGTTGACTTGTTGAAGGTCACTTATTGTAATATAGAACAAAGTAGGTTGGATCTAATGAATATCATTGTTAATTTAAAATCTCCAGCTCACACTTACAAAGGTTTACAGCAGTTTAGAGTTAAACTGGAGAGCACTCTCAAAACTTTAAGTAATAAATATACTCTGAAGGAATCAGACTGGTTATTGAGCGCCATGGTACAGAATAAATTAAACTATAAAACACTTGAATGACTCT